AAAAAGCTGAAATAAATGATTTAAGAATGTATTTCCAAACAATTTATGGAAGAAAAATCAGATAAAATAAATGTAGAAACCTCGGATTTAAATCCAAGAGTTATGTGTACTTAAAAAAGTGAATGAGATAAATCAGTCATTCGAGAACGTGTGGATACAAAAATTCGTCAGGCAAACCTTTTCTATAAACACTTGAATTCTATTGGCTACTGCTCAACGAATAAAATTTCTAGGTGAATACAGCTCCGATTTGAACTCTTCGCCTTAATTTACCCTCTGAAAGTCGTTTTTCTTATCACTTGATTTCTATTGGTCAGTGCACAACCAGTTGGGTTTCGAGGCAAGTAAAGTACAGATTCGAGTTCTCCGTCCCAGAATACCTCAAAGTATCACCTCTGTGATCAGAAGATAGAGCTCTAATTGTGGATCAATCGGAGCTTGGACAAAAACAGAATCAATTTTCGTTTATTTATCGTTGCAATAGTTGAGTTTACTTTCTTGTTTCTTCAGGTTTTATATACCATTTTGTAGCTCTTGAGATTCTGTATCGAATGGTGTATAATAGTTGGAGTTTTATTTGACTATGATAGGGAAAGTTTTTTACGAAAGCTGGGATAGGCCGATTTTCGCATAGGAAGCCACGGGAAAAATGAGTACTTTTGGAATAACTCAGGAACAGCTCGGCCCATCCTTCTCATCTTCGAACTCGACCGAGATATTGTTGAGAAAAAACTGTGTAGAAAATTTTATAGCGATCGAACTCTCCTTTCAAAATTTATCGTGTAAAGAGATGGACGGGCGGACACACTGACCAATTCTAGAGTGTACTCACTTTTTGAGTACACAAAAATGATCATTTATGCCATAGGAATGGTCATTTGTGCCATAAAAATGGCTGTTTGTGCCATAAAATTCGTCATTTTGTGCCATAGAACTGGTTGAGTGTGCCATAGAAATAGTCGTTTGCGCCATAGAAACTGTCCTTTTTGCCATAGAAATCGTCATTTGTGCCATAAAAATGATAATTTTTGCCATAGAAAGTGTCATTTTTGCCATAGGAAGGGTCATTTATGCCCTAAAAGTGGTCGTTTGTGCCATAATAATGGTCATTTGTGCCAAGCGCTGATTACAGACAGATAGAAAAACAGACGGAGAAACAGACACAGGTGAGTTACGATTTCTAGACCCTATCCTTCCAGTCTAGCGAATATTCGCTAGTGTTGTGGTTCTTTAGAGAATTAAGTGATTCAAGAATATCGCAACCTAGACGTTGTTTTTTGAAAATCTTAGTACTTCGGCCTCTCTCTAGCTTATGGTTCTCATAACCTGCCCTGATACAATCTGACAGAAGGACGTGTAGCTTTTCAGGTTCTTAACGTTTTGCAGGACTTTAAAACCGCTGACCCTCTTCTTGCTTTTATTCCTAACTTTATGATTAGATTATTGCATGTTTTTTGCATTTCTTACCGTCTGTGCTTCATACAATGGATTCCACACTTCGCTCACATTAACTTTCAATCGAATCGAGTTCAAATCACATACAAACTCGTGTAATTCGATGATTTTTTTCATTAATATATTCTAATTGTCTGAAGCGGTAGAATTTGGTATATTGATCTATGACTACCTTTGATAATATTTCGTTGATACGACCACAAATCGGATGAATAAAAAAAGATTATTCAAAACTTCGTATATATCCTATTTCTTTTTGTTCTGATGCTTTTATTTAATTGAAAAAGCTGCTACGTTGAATAACACCAGGGGCTTCTTAAGGACATTTTACAACTGAGTGTCAATTGACGGAATGAATGCATTGAAATTCGATTTTCAAGATGGGTGAGTAAAGCATTAAAAGGTGAAATTTATCGAACAACATCCTAAGTAAATGATTCTTAATCATCCGTTATTAAAGTCATTGATAAAATGGTATCGATTAAATAATTTAAATGATGTTAAGCAAACAAATCGATTTTTAGTATAATTTATAGACAATTTAATAAACAACTGTACACAATCTCCGAATAATTTTAGACATAATGAATCAATTAATAATTTTGCCATATGCTTATATGTTCTCGGTGGCAAACAAACCTATGAATTTATTCGTTTAAATCTTTATGGTTCTATTCCTAATTTATCAACACTTGGTGAATTAATTAAAAACTCAGACATTGCATTTAGTGAAGCAGATTTTAACTTTGGATCTCTTCAGCAATGCCATTCACAGTTTGGTTTTTGTTCTGAAGACACCACAGGGACCATTCGTGAAGTTGAATGACTCAAAAACAAATTCTTTCGTCTGGTTTGCAACTCCAATCGATCATGGAATTCCATTACCAAAATTCTATCAAGCTGATACGTTTAATGAATTGAAAACAGCTTATGAAACAAATGAAACAGCACCATTGTTAAATGTACACATATTTCAAAGTATACCAACTGAAGATAATGCAACACGTATTCCAAGACCATTTTTATTATCAGCGTACGGTGTTGACAATAAGATTACTGCAATAAATGTGTTAAATAGATGGATGTATATTTTTCAACATTGTTTGGAACAAAATGTCTGTATCATTGGATTTTCTACAGGTAAATTTTAAGATGATTATGCTAACTAAAATGCTGTTTTAATTTGTAAATAGATGCTGACAGAAGATATGTAAGTGCTATGCGTCTTGCAAGCGGTTTTTTGCATCACTATCCGATTTACAGTTAGATAAGCATCAGCATGCATTTAAAATTAATATACCAACACATTGGAGATGGTTTTTCCTTCGAAATAAACAGTTATTCTTGTTTTTTCAAGATCCAGTCCATCTTCTAACAAAATGGAGGAATTGATTATTGTCACCAACAACTGATTTACGTTTTGGAATAGACAAAATCACTATAACTCATATAGAAGCATTGATCAGTAACGGTCATTATACAAAACTAGATCATGACCTCACAAGCAGCGACATTAATCCAAAAGATCGCCAGAACTACAACTTCTGCATTAAACTAATATCAGATGATGTGATAAACCTTTTGATTAATGGTGTGGATACGAATGGAACTTTTGTATACTTAACTTTATTTAAAATGATAGTGAAAGCTTATATTGATAAATCAACATCCGTTCGTGAAAGTAAGTTTATTTTCGATCTTTAAAACTTATACATCTAAATTTATTAATCTCGAGTTCACTTCTATACATTTAGATGTACAATTAGCGTGGTGTGTCGTGTTCGTTTGTCGCATATGGTGACTATGTTTAAAAATGAATTCATTTTCCAGTTCATCAAGAAATAAAGCAATAACTTAAAAGGCCAGTGACGTAAATAAATGCATGATTTCAAAACCTGCATATTTGTTGATTGAACTAAATGCTCATAACCTGCCTTATTTGGTGCTTTTGGTAAAACAGCAGTATTTGCCTAAACAAGTACTGATTAAAACACATTTGTTCGATTCTTAACCATGTGAATCGATCTTCAGAAATGCAAGATCGTTATGTGCTTCTTTCTCCATCATAGTCAACTTTACTGTTAGCAATTTCATTTGACACGCACAAAAAATTATCTCTATTGAATCAAATTAAATAGAATCAGTCGAAAAATGATTTATCTTTTCGAACACACTACAAGCACAAACATAATAATTCCTTCATCTCTATAGATTGCTTAGATGAAATTAATACGTTAAATCTTGAACAAGTTATATCAGACGCATAACCAAGTCATTGATTTGGTACATCACTCAAAACTTTTACAAGTATTAAAAAAAATTACATAAGCGATTTAGAAACCTTCAGTGAATTTGTATTTGACAGCTTAAGAAAGAGTTCAAAAATGTTTGGCTATTCGTCCCGAACAACAACTGATAACAATGAAGAATTAGAATCAGATGATGACGGAGATGGTGAAGATGATCCTCATGGTGAGTTATTGAATTTTGAAAACGACGATTATAACGATGAAGAAGAGATATTAAATTCAACAAGATCAATTTTTGAAGGAATAAAAATTGTTGATAATATTAATTCTATGCTGAAAAATTCGAATTTTAAAATTAAAATAAATGATAAAATTAAATATCTTCACAAACAATCAGCTTGTTGGCTATTGTCCAACAAATCGATAGGATTATCAAATGATCGTTTATCTCGGATCATGCAACAAACATAATATTAGTTCATATAATTGTTGAGTTTTGTGTTTTTTATTGATACTTTCTATGCTTTATAAATGAATGGAAGAATTTTTTCGTATTCGTTCGTCTACATTGCTTTTCGTTCGATAAGCTTTTAGATTTTGAAAGACTATTCATCTACTCTAATATACTTATCGGTACTTGAAACTACTTTTAAGGAACTTTGGAAGTACTTGAGTGTACTTGAAGGTACTTGAGTGTACTTGGAGTTACTTGAGTGTACTTAAGTGTACTTGAAAGTACTTGAAAGTACTTGACGATACTTTTGAAAGTACTTGATGGCAGTTTTGAAGGTACTTGATGGTACTTTGAAGGTAGTTCATGATACTTGAAAGGTACTTGACTGTATTTTAAAGGTACTTGAAGCTACTTTGTGATACTTTTAATGTACTTGGAACTACTTGAAGTAACTTGAAGTAACT